GATCAACAAATTCTTTTAATTATCAGGAGATAGGCTTTATTTGGATTAGAGTTATCATGAAAATGTGATTATACGCCATTAATTAGGTCATGAGTTTCTCAACGCGTCCGTGATTTCATCCGTTTCTTAATCCACCATATCTGTTTCCAGTTTCCACGAAAACTCCTCTCATTGGCGCACGTCATCCGCCACCCCCAAAAATCTTCCCTATATAAACCCCTCTCGCCTTTTTACCACATCACTTTTTTGTTCTGTCTTCTGTCACCACTTATGATTTCTGTCGCATCGCTACATCACGCCTATCACTTGTGTTTTCGGGATCACACTCTCACGCTCTCTCTTTGCCCGTTTGACTACTGTCGTGTATTATCGTTTTCAACATCTTTTGCGTTCGTGCCATTACGGCTTCCGCAACGACTTCGCCTTCTGCTGCCGAACAACTTGCTGCGCAAGTCGGGATCTCCTAAGTGAACTATTTCGGTATTTCGGGATCCCATAAATCCGGTACACCACGATCAACGAACTCACGTACTATTCATCACAGTTGATTCATCTAAATCGTAAGTTTCTATTTCATATTTAAACATGACTTTTAATTATTTCAATCAAATTCCACTTCACTCCTCAAAACACAAAAATACATTGCGTAATTATTATTTTCCTTGTATTATATTAGGTTGGGGAAAAAAAAATCCATTATTTTTACATGAACTTCAAGACTTTATTTAACATGTTTCGGATTGTCCGATTTGGGTCAAATATGCACCGTTTTGTTTTATAATTTGTTGCCATTTTAAAAGTAGCTTCATAATGCCTCTCTCATAGAAGTCTTGGTCCCTATTGGCGAAAAACTCTAGTAATCAATTTTCAGAATATTCTCTTGATGCCAATTTCTTATCACTAAGGAAATTTTACAATGCAGGAAAAACATAGTAATCGCTTGGTGCCGGACTATATGGTGGATGCATCCAAACTTCCCAACCAAGCTCCCAGAGTTTCTAGCGAGTCACTATAGACATGTGTGGCCTGGCGTTGTCCTGATGGACCACAACACCTCTCCTGTTGGCCAATTTTGGCCGTTTCTGGTCAATCGCTAGCTTCAAACGGTCCAGTTGTTGACAGTAGAAATCCAAATTTAATATTTGGCCATATGGAAGCAACTCATAATAAATGATTCCTTTCCAGTCCCACCAAATGCACAGCAGAACCTTTCTGGCCGTTAGTCCTGGTTTGGCCACCGTTTGAACTGCTTCACCGCGCTTTGACCACTATCGTTTTCGCACAGTGTTGTCGACCCATTCCTCATCCCCAGTTACCATCCGTTTAAGAAATGGGTCGATTTCATTCCGTTTGGCCAAGGCTTCACAGATGGAAATTCGATCCATCATGTTTCTTTGTGTTAATTGGTGTAGCATCCAAACATCAAGCTTCTTTTTGAATCCAGCTTTGTGCAAATGGTTTAAAACTGTTTTGTGGTCGACCTTTAGCTCCTGGGCGATGCTACGACTGCTAACATGCCGGTCGATTATTTTTGTAATTTTATCGACATTTTCGACGACGGGCCTACCTGTGCGAGGTGCATCTTTAACATCAAAAATACCTGAACGGAATCGACGAAAGCAAAATTGCACGTAATTGGCTGTTACAGTATCTGCACCATTCACAATTATATCCGCCTGGCTTGCATTTTCGCCTTTATCAAAGAAAAACTGTAAAATGTACCGAATTTTCTCTTTGTTGACTTCCATTTTTAACACCCTGTAACTCACAACTGAATGGGCCAAACAAAAAACAAAAAAAAGAAAGAATTTTTCTAGTGCGAAATGTCACCTTTCCAACGAGCATAAATCTGAAATTGTTTGATCGATACTTTACGAGATATCGATCACTACAGCCATCTACCGAAAAAATAATGGATTTCTTTTTCCCCAACCTAATATAATAATGTTTTTCTCGTCATACCGCTACGTGAAACATTCTTGTTACGTTAAATCCGACTGTATTAAATTAAGTTACACTAATTATTTTTTTACTTTAATCTTCATCTTATATTTGCATTATTCTAATAATGCTGATTTATAAAAGTTTGTTTAATGTTAACCCATATATCTCATTGTTTAACTTTAGCTAACCTTCATCTTTTAAATATTGTATCTTTCACAATGTCTTTTCTCATCAATTTACCACTGTTATTAATCCGCGTGAAAACCAAATTATGTTATTAGTATAATTAATAAACTGTTTTATTCAAAATCTCCTATATTTAATCAAGTTGTCAAGATTATTCATTCATTTCCTTTCAATTATTTAAATCTGAATTCCCCTCTCAACACGCTCATATGGTCCTATTCCAGGTAAAGAGATTAAGTTCTCTGACCTAAATAAAGGACTACCTAGCGTATGTTCTGTGATCGAAGTAAATGGGCCTCTCCAAACCTTAACCTGATCTGCAGACCTATTAGTTTCGGACTCGCGAGTGCGCGAGTAAATGATGTTTGTTGCGTACATCCTCTTCCAGGACGTAACACTCCGATAGCCATCTTTTGGTCCGCTAGTGTTATTAGGCTGCTAAGCGTTGAAGTGGATAAGTGCAGCAAATAATAATGGAGTTATGGTAACGAATGGTAACAGAGTTGTTTCGATCTCCAGTTGATAGCAAGTACCGACGGTCGTCTTTAAACTGCTCGTCTTTAAACTGCTGCTGCAATGTCCTCCTCAGCTCATTGTCGTTTTCCTCAAGTTTTCATGTGGTTGAGATATATATTGTGTGTCTCGTGTGAATCACATATTTTCTATACTTCCTCATTTCACTAACTTACTTGATATTGGTTTTTCACTGAATGCTCTCTTCCTCTTTTTAATACAGACGCAGATTCCAGCGCTGCCATTAGAATTGTTGCATCCGCGCAGCCGGGCGCAAGTTTGTCAGGATTCGGCGTCGTTGAATAAGACATGACGGCGTGTAGTAATGTAAACATTTCCTAATAAAATTTTCAAGTTCATTACAACAATTTGACCTTTCTTACAACAGGCGTGTCTGAAAATAAGTTGCGTAGATTTTGCGTGCGAGAGCTGGCCCGGATAGTGAATTCAATTCTTTTATAATACTCGAAATCTTCATCAGAGGAGATGGCTTAACGACAACGGTCGCCTGGATAGATACGTTCTATTTTCGCGCTGCGGGATGTACAACGTGGTGTTTGTTGCATTTCGTAGTCCAAAGGGCAGTGTTAAATGTCAATAGAGCGGGAAAATAGATGTGGCGCACTTTCCGCGGTACGAGGTTTGTGAAGAAATTGTGAAGATAAAAGCTAGCGAGACTTCTTCGCGAGCTACGTAATAAATAGTGTGACTCAATCGGCGCAGTGAAAATAAAAGGAAAGTACAACGCGCGACATTTATGTGTTTATTTGATATAATTTTATGCAAATGTATACGATGTAACTGATATAAAACGTTAAAAAATATATACGTCACATATGAAGTGAAGAAAAGTATCTTTCTATCTCACACTGATTATTCTTCATACTGACCCACAATTACTCGCCGAGTTTAAATTAACTCTGAGCTATCAGTTTATGAGCGGTTATCTTTCAATATAGTGCAGAAGTCTTTATATAAATTAAATGTTTATCAGAAAAACGGTTACCATATCCGGTACTCATATTTAAAAAGTCCCACCGAATCTTTGTCGACTGTTGCCTGAGTAGAATATTTCTACAGTATGGTAAATGTGGGAAGGTAGAAAGTCTAAGAAGGTGTGGACCTTTGATGGAATCGAGGGTCTCGACGGATCTTAAAAAAAACCGTTGCATCGTTAAAAATATACTTTCTTACTTTCTAAAAATTCCTGTTCGAAATGAAAGAACCTGTCATTCAGATAACCTCATGAAATCTCATAAAAAATTACTGCTCTATCTTGATTTAAGTAGCGCTTGGGAATCCCACTCGTGGTATGTTTTCGTGATTTCGATGGGAAAATATTGGGGGTAACATGCGCTTTCGTATGTCAAAGGTTTCCGAACGCTCCAGTGTGACTTCTAGTGAGTAACGATGAAAAAATGTTTAAAACATTACTGTTTCAGATCTATGCAAAAGTCTTATTTTCAGTATATATTAAAACATAACATGCGAATAGAATTAGAATTTTACAATTTCTATTCATATGGTTTTAATACCAATATAAATTATTCATCTTGAACACTGCGCTACTAAACTCTCCAAGGAATTAAGAATAGAATGAATCCCGCTCACTACGTTTTTGTGTTATCCTTGTATCTATATGATATTCTCTGACATTATTTATTTATCGATAAGATTTATACACGATGAAGTTGACAGAACTAGATAATAATTCACCGACTCACACCGACTTTCCCTGCTTTCTCGTCGGCTGGTTTAGTGGTACACAGTGAATCTCCCGGAGGATTTCTGAGTGATGTACACAAATGCGCACTGAACCACACTGAGTATTTCCGAACGGTTAGTGTACTAGTGGTATGCATACGGTGTGCATTCCCGAACACAACCATAAAAGAGTTACACGCGGAGAAGCCGCTCTGTCGGGTAATAGCGGAACCTCGTGAAACGCATATAACAATATGCATATCTTTAAATTTATAAGATATTTTGAATTGTGTTACATTTAAAAATTTACATGAGTGAAAGTATATAAAGTAGAAATTTTTATATTATATACTAAAACAAAAGTTTCTCATAATTTTCTTTTACTGACACATTAAATGAAAATGTCAAATGTATTTAAAAGATATACAAAAAAAGTATAGATTATTTGTCTATGACATTTTTCAAATTTTAATTCATTAATAGTTTTATGCAAATATCAATATTATTCCTTTCGGATTTTTCTGCAATAATATTGATAGTAATATTTCAAGAAATCATCATATCCCTGCCTACGTTCGGTGATATATTTCATCCTTTTTTATCTCTTTACGGATCGTAATCTTATGTTTTACATGAAATTTTCGAGGACTTACAACTTCTTTCAAATCATTCGCTGGCCATGCTGTAATATACATTCGTTGCAAAGCAGCCATTATCATTGATAAGAATTGAGGAATGAGAATATGAGACTTTATCTACAAAAAAGTGTTTTAAATTAGAAGTGTTGCCATACTTGTATACTCACATAAATTTAATTACTTACATATAGGATAGGAAAACAACCACTGATCACAGTAAATCCCATAGTAAGAGTAGTTTTAAATAGTAAATATTGAATAGCTTTCTGCGTTTCTGAAATAAATCTGTCCACACAAAAGATTATAAGTAAAATAAGATAATTTTACAATAATTAAATGACTAAGATTCATAGTGAAATTATGAAAAATATATTCCTTCATATATAAAAAGAATTATTAACTCTCTGTTATAGATATAAAAGATGATTTATTTTAAACAACGTAACAAATTTCTTCTAATAAAATGTCACATAATAACATTTCAAATGAAGGTTATAAGGTTTCAGAGGAACTATCCAATTACACAGCTCTACAAAAAAAAAAGATTTCTATTGCCAGGGATCTGACTATGTATACTATATGTTTTTTGGGTTTCTGAAACCGAATCCATAATCGAAATTTCTCAGTCAGATCCTGTTCTTTTCCTAACCTCAAAAAACAAAGACCATGAAATTCAGGCTCAAAATCATATAATTCGATAAAAACCAAAACAAAATCCCATAATCATATATTTCATCAATTTCATAATCATATAATCTCAAAACTCTATAACCTCAAGCCTCATAACCTCAAAAATCCCATAACCTTATGATTCTAAAACCCCTAAACCAAGTAAAAAAAAAGACTTACACGCACTGAAGCAGGGTAAATCAATACGTTTGAAAGAGATTTGTCCTTCAATCTCACTACCACTCAACTTCAAAACCACGTAATCCTAAAACCTCATAACCTCAAAAACCCCATAACTTTATGATTCTGAAACCCCGTAACCCAATAAAAAATGACATTTACGCATTTAAGCACTGTAAATTAATATGTTCGAAACAGGTGAGCCCTTTAACCTCTTATACATTGAAACCTCATAACCAAATAATAAACCACGTTCTTTCGCCACAAAACCTACATTTTGCCGAACCCAGGAACAACGACGTGGACGTAGCAGGCTTCTGTTCCCTTCGGGGTGCTTTATTTGCGTGAGGTCCCCTCGCCTCTCACGTTACAGGGTGCTTTATTTGCGTGAGGTCCTCTCGCCTCGGTTATGAGGTTTTTAAAGTTATAAGGCTTCAGGTTATGGAGTTTTGAGATTACATAGTTATGGATTTGATGAAATATATGATTGCAGGATTTTGTTTGAGTTTTTATCGAATTATTAGATTTTTAGCTTGAATTTCATGGTTTTTGGCCTGTTTTTTGAGGTTAGGAAAAAAACCGGATCTGACAGAGAAATTTCGACTATGGATTCGGTTTCAGCGACCCAATAAACATATAGTATACATAGTCAGATCCCTGGCAATGAAAATTTTTTTTTTCTGTGAAGCTGTGTTATTATTTTATATAGTGTCTTTATGTAATATTTCTCAATTTATATTAAATCATATTAAATTCCTTTAAGTTATTAATAATATGCTATATGTATACACGCGTGCAGTAGTAACAGAATTTATTTCTTTAATTTACATATTGCAGTTTTACTTTGTTTCACCTTGATCTTGAATCGAGTTACTTTTAATAATGTATTAAAAATTGACTTTATACATCTTTATTTCTTGGAAATTATATTTTCTACACAAATTGCAACGTCGTATACATGTATGTTATTATTATTAAATCTTCACATTCATCCTTGTTCAATATTTTATATAATTTGTTATATATTACGTCACTAAGTTTAATTGATTTCCGTGTTTTAATATAAGAAAATTCTTTGCATAGAGTGATTGCACATAACACAAGTGAAAAAAAATAACCCAGCATTTACCTACAGCACGACACGTGTACTGTGAAATTTCTCTTTTATTTTTTCCACAAAATATTAAATACCATATTGTAACATTATAAATAGATATAATGGATTTGGCTTTCGACGCTCTTTAATTTTTGTCGTTTCAAAATTTTTCAATTTTGCAAAATTAATTAGTAAAGTCAGAGGGGCTAAAAAATTTGACATTTTCAAAATATGTAAATATGTTGTTGTAAAGAATATACCTTACAACATTTAAATAAAACATTTTTTTACATAACTCATAATTTAGATAATATACGCTAAAAAAGGAAAATTCCACTTTTCTCAATAAGTAGTTTCACTATCTAAACCTCAAGATACGATTAAAAAAATCAATCTCAACAAGATACGATAAAAAAATCTATCTCTTAATTTTTGATGCTCTGTAATATCCATGGCCTAGCAAAATCGGTAAAGAACAATTGTGATCGTTTCCTCGTCAGTGATTACTTTCATATTCCGCCGATGTATATTATACATTTTACATGGTTCAAAATAATTTGTTGTAAATGCGTAGACATTAAATTAACTACAAATGATTGGAATACGTTCTCCAACGATCGATGATATCTTTATGTATTAGGTGGTAAACTTAGTTCCTGTGGTTTTTTTGTTTAAAAAACTTAATTATTTTGACATCAAAAGCAAAAAATACATTAATCGAAGTATTTTCCCTCACTAGCTATACATTTTTCCCATCTTTCGGGCAACGCGACGATAAAACGATTGGTCTTTTGATGCAATCCATTCGTCGATCCATTTTCGCACATCCTCGTAATTTCTGAAGTGTGTATCCACCAAGCCGTGCTGCGTCGACCAGAACAAGTAATAGTCCGAAGGAGCTAAGTCTGGTGAATACGCTGGGTGCGGGAGAACTTCCCACTCGAGCTGCATCAGTGTTTCTTTGACGGCTTTGGCAATGTGTGGTCGAGCGTTGTCGTGCAAAAGCATGACTTTACGTCGATTGCTGGCTACTGCTGGCCTTTTTCCCAACAATGCTTCATTCAGACGGTTTAATTGTCATTGATATCGATCCCCCGTGATACTTTCGTTCGATCTCAATAGCTCATAATAAACGACGCCGTGCATATCCCACCAAATGCAAAGCATTGCTTTGTGGCCATGAATATTTCTTTTTGGTGTGGATGTCGATGGTTGGCCAGGGTCTACCCATGATTTTCTTCGTTTAGGATTATTGAGGTATATCCATTTTTCATCGCCAGTCACTATGCGCCACAAAAAACTCTTTTTCTGCCTGGCGAGCAGAGAAATAGAGATGTTTAAGCGATTCGCAATAGCATTTGCGGTTAATTCGTGTGGCACCCATTTTCCCTCCTTTTGAATTTTTCCCATTGCATGTAGACGTTTGGAAACAGCCATCGGAGTAACATTTAATGCTGCAGACAATTCTTGGAGCGTTTGAGTAGAGTTTTCGTCCAATAATGCCTGCAAATCGG